ATGATCACCATCTATAAATACATCAGTGGTTCATATAGTGAACTCGGTGTAGAGCTATTCAGTCTGATGTCATCACAGAGGACAAGGGGGCACTCTTTACGTCTGGAGGAAAAGAAATTTAATCTCCAAACACGGAAAGGTTTCTTCACAGTGAGAGCTGTGAAAATGTGGAATAGACTCCTTCAAGAGTTGGTTCTGGCCAGCTCAGTGGATTGCTTCAAAAAAGGCCTGGATTGTTTCTTAGATACACAGAATATAACTGGATACTAACATTTATAGGTAAAGTTGATCCAGGGAATATCGGATTGCCTCTCGGGGGGGATCAAGAAGGATTTTTTTTCCCCAACAGGAGCAAATTGGATCATGATTTGCTGGGGGGTTTTTTTGCCTTCCTCTGGATCAACTGTGGCTGTAGGATTATAACTTTTTTTTTTCTCTGGTTGAACTGGATGGACTTTTGTCTTTTTTCAGCCAGACTAACTATGTAACTCAGTATAAGGTTAAGTCTCACCTAAGGAGGTAACTGCAGCCATCTGAAGACATCAGAAGAGCAATTAGTGTAGCCTGTAAAAAAAAGGCCTTACTGTGTAGAAAAGGAATGAGGACTGTTCCCTCTGCCTAAGGGTTGGGTATAGGGCTTTCATTGCTTACGTCTGTTGATAGGCAACATCAGACAACCATGGGCTCTACTGGGTCAGCAGGGAGACTACAGGATACAGAGTGGACCTGCAGGAACCTATGATTCAGTTCAAATCTTGGGACAGTCCCTTGGAAATTTGAACAGTTGAGTGGATTTGGTTTACAAAGTTTTGTATTACTTTTTGTGTCCATGTCTCAAAAGCTCAATCACTTCCTTTCTGATGAAACCATTGTTGCGGGGACAGAAAAGGAAAGAAAATCTCTCTAACAGAGCCCTTGTTAATAGTAAAAATTGGACAGGCGTTTAATCCTTCCCAAGTTTTGATAAAACAAAACATTTTGACTGGATATATACTTGAATACATTATAGGAAAAATGTTGGTATATTGCCACCTTAATTCAAATTGCAAAGAGACAGTAAAACCAAGTATACTGATGGAGGTAATGAAAACTTAGGTGAGGTGGAGGAGCAAGAGAGAGCTCAGGGCAGTCAGTAGGCAGCAAAAAACTAAAATGGGATCCACAAGCACATGAAATTACAACTAAATGTATAATGAATATACCAAATCACCCAAATCCTAGGGTGGTGTCCTCAGAACCAAGACAATGCAGTAGAAAAATGGACCAGTGGGTGAGACCCTACTAGAAAAGAAGTCCTCAAAAGAACATACTGCGGCTTAAAACAAAGTGTTTATTAACATTGTAATGACCGTAGGCAGCGCATTTAGACTTAAAGCGGTGCTGCAGTCAAAAGGGGAAGATTTAAGGCTTTATCCCCTGTTCCCCGTTTAAGGATTGGCACCTTTGGGGGATGGGGGGGGGATATCCAAATTTGACAGGTACCCGCTCCTACTTCTGCTGCAATCACCTAGGCTGATTTCTAAAAGTCAGCAGCTACAGTTTTTGTGGCTGCTGACTTTTATTTTTTTTTTGTTTTGACCAGACCTCCACTTTAAGTGATGAAGTCACGTGACAACGTGACGCAACGCGTTGGTACGCAACTTCCGGTGACGTGGTGACACACTTCCGGGTGTGGGGGCCATTTTGGTACACCCAACAAACCCATGCAGTACACCCTTATGCATGAGGTTTAGAAGCTTTGTATCTTTGAAAAAAATGTGAGTGGGCAATTTGTTTTTATGTCATTTACTGAGTAACAAACATTATTGCACCATGGAGGATCTTTTTTCTGTCTTATTAATATGATCCTGAGTGGGGAGTGAGCTGTATTGCAGTACCTGTGCCAGGAGGAACCTGAGAGGAGTAAGGGGTGTTACTGAAGGGAGCTTATGTGGCGATTTTCTCCTGTGACAAGATAACATCCATAAGGATCGTGGGTGATCCTAAAAAGCGAGCTGGCCCTTGTGGTCACGTTTTAGAGATGAGGGGCCATTTCGGCTATTTGAGGATTTTTTCACCAGAGTGGAGATCATTTATTTCACCTCATCACCTGCATGAATTATTTGTAGATCACAGCTATATGTTTTTTTTTTTTGTGTATTGGACATTATTTGTGAGTGTTTTATGTTTGAGATTATTTATATGAGGTTGATTTAAGTGAAGGTCTTTTGTTATTTAATATAATTGGCACTGATCGCTATTATTGTTTTTCCCCAGAAGGGGTTTCACTTGTTACACTATTTGAAAAGTCCCATTATTGGGACAGGAGGGTGGGGTATATATATTTTATATAATTTGAGTCACTTTTTAAGTGTGTACTTAAACAGGTTTTCCTGTTATTTTCAACAGTTTTTCACGTGTTTATTCACAATTGGATCCGGATTGGATCAGAACACAGTTTGTGGATAATTATATTATACTGTTGAGTTTTGTCATTTATTTTATTGTTTAGCGCTTCACCATTTTTTTCATATTGATTTGCACATACCAATTGGGTCAGGTTGGGTGAGAGCAGCTTTTGATTTAGGGGTATCCATATAAGCGCAAGAGGTTACACCAATAGCATATCTAACAAATGACCAGTATGACCACAACCTCTCCCCACAATTGGGAACTTGAGGAAGAAAATATAGCAATCCTGTATGGGGAACAGTACCATCTGCTAAGAAGCTTATAGGCTAGTTCCTATTGGTTTACACAGTGGGCCACCTGCTGGATGGATTGTGTTTCTGCCAACCAGTTTGATGGGGTAAATGTGGTCTTAAGATCTGTTTCCCACTTCAATAATAGTGCTGCTTTTTGGAAAAATCTTTTTAGCCTGTAAGACGCCATAAAAAAACGATAAGCCCTTTAAGGCTGGTTTGCAACTAGTATAAAATTGCCAGGCTTTAGGATGGATGTTGGCTGTGGGGATGGGGTGAGACTTCAAGAAGTTTAAGATGCAGATACAGGTGAAATGGGTATATTGAGAGGCAACTTGAACTCTTCCACCTGGTGTTCCAAGCTCTTGAGGTTGGATTCATTGTAAAAGTTGTCAATCCCTAGTATACCCTGAGTAATTAACTTTCTGATGGGCAGCAGTGGCAATAATGATTCTAGAACCTGTGTGGTAAGTGACACCTCTTTGTTATGTAAGCCCCAAACAGAAGGCCCGATGAGAGCCCACTATGCTTCCACAAATGTCTGCACTATCAGTGGAAGTAGTTTTAGATCTTGCTTTTTCCACATATTGGCAAGTACAGTAGTAGCATTTGCAAGTCAGATAGTGGAGTTAATGAAGATTCAATCTCTACCATAGTACTTCAGTTGAACTCCTGAACCGCCAACTAAATTGATCCAAGCGAGCCGCAGAAAGATAATCTTTGATATCCACACATCCTACACCTCCAACATTTCTATACTTGATTAGTAGGTTGTGTGATCATCTAGTCCATTTACCTTTCCATATACATATGTTTTGAGGAGCTTAGAAAGGGAGTCAAAGAATTTTGCTTCAACTGGGATGGGAAGGGAAGGGTGCAAAATAGGTATAGGATTTGTGTGGGAGTATGGTCATCTTAAAGAAGGCTAATCTGCCCATCCACAATTCAAACTAGGATAAATGCTTAAGCTCCCTATCTAGTTTAGTTATCAGAGGTGCAAAGTTGGCTGCTTCTAATGCAGGCCATAGAGGGTTGTTTATCGGCCAAATTTTCGTCCGCACGAAAAATCGGCCGATATTCACGCCGTTAGTGGGGTAATGCCGGCAGCCGTTTTTCATGGATCTTCTCATTTCTTTTTATTGATAATGCTGGAAAATCCACAAAAAAACGGCCGTTTTTTGTAGACATTGGTGGCAGCATCGGTAACAACGACCGATTTTTCATTTATCGTTCGACAATTCGGCTGATAAACAGCCCGTCTGTGGCCAGCCTAAGGAACTCATGCTAGGTGCGAGTGTGATTCCAAGATAAGGTATCTCTGCATCGCTCCAGGCATATGGGAGCTGTCCTGATAGGGCACTTTTTAGATTAGGGCTAATTCCAAGGCATAATATCAATGATTTAGTGAAGTTAACTTTGTAGTATGATAATTTACTAAAGCGGTGAAGGATGTTGTGGCCACAGGAGAGAGAGGTTAAAGCATTTTTAAAGTAGTATCAGTGTCAGTATGTTTTATGTAGGATAAAAGAAAGCAAAATGCACACTATAGTTCTGGGCTGTACTATGGGTACAAACAACAAATAAAAAACACATGTGTTATTGCTGCAATCATCTGGAGCATGAGAGTTTATTTTGGGTTGTTCTTTATTGGTAAGGTATGGTAGTAGCAAGAAATATACAGATACATTTACATTTTTTTTTTTTGCTTTCTTGGGCTAGTAATTCTTTGATAATAATAAAAAAAATTAGGAGATATCCATTACCATTTACCACCAAAAGAAAGTCCAACTTGTCCTGAAAAAAACAAGCTATAACCTGGATACACAAAGTAGTTGTTGATGATATGAACGGTTTTACTGACATGTGTCAAAGTTGCAACATGGTGTTCAGACATTACCATTTGTTTTACTGTCAGTCACTAAGGAGTTAATATTAAAATGACAATGTTGGTTGTGTAAGTGATGGAAAGGGAGTTCTTTAGGTGAACATGCAGGAGTCATTTAGCAGGGATTTTCCTGAATAACAGGTGACTTCTGTGACATAAACATAACATAAAAAAGAGGAAGGAGGTTTTTGTATACGGCTCTGTATCACTGTGTGAGAGGGAGCTCTATATGCTGCTGACAGTAATATCTTCCTTCATCATCTTCACTCGCACTTTGTATTGTCATTGTGAATTGAGTTCCTGATCCAGATCCACTGAACCTATCTGAAACCCCAGATGCTCGAGTACTGGAGTGATACAAGAGGAGTTTAGGAGGTTGTCCTGCTTTCTGTTGATACCAGGCTATGAAGTGAGCGCGTGCTCCAGAGTAATAAAGACTTTTACTGGATGTACATGTGATTGTGATTGTCTGTCCCGGGGACACAGAGGTAGAATCCGGAGTCTGAGTCATCACAGTCTCTCCACAGGATCCTGAGGATGGGAAGAGACATAATTATTATGAATAGATTTCATTATAAGAGGCAACTATATTCAGCTAAAACCATCTGTATGTAACATTTAAGCTCTATGTAAGGATCTAGGTTCCGTTTATGATTAATCAGAACACTGGACACTGTTACCTATTTAATAAATGCCTGGGAAAAAATTCCAAAGAGGGCCCAAAGTTTTTTTAGATAACATATCTGATAAAACACACATCCATTTAACTTTAATTTCTCTATTCCTAATTATTATTATACATCTGACAAAATAAACCCCAAAAATCCTCATACCTTGGATGTAGACATAAAAGACACAGAGTAGATATGTCAGAGGAAGCATCTTGATGGGTCTGGTCTGTCACTCACACAGATCATTGATCTTCATGGTAAACTGTTTTATATAAAATTAAATCTATAGGGAAATAATCTCAGAGTCTCACTATGTAAAGCAGGAAATATTCAAATTTTACAATTTGTGGGGAGTATTATATCTCTCAGTGCTCAGTACAATGTGGCAGAACGAAGCAGTGTGATATCAGAGGAGAATGCACCCAGCACATTACATGCAGTGAGACTCATTATGAAAGTTTTAAAAGATTTTTCCACTTTTGGAGAAACTTCCCCATCCATTACCAGTAGGAATAAGTGAAATTGAGTTTCATATAATTCCAAGAAAAAAATTGTAGTTTTCAGCAAAAGTTGACTATTTCAATGAATGCAGTGAAGTTTTATGATGATTTTAAGGGTGCAATAGGAATTAAGTGGCTTCAAGGCTCAGTACAATGTAGCAGAATGAAGCAGTGTGATATTAGAGTAGAATACACCCAGCACATTGATGCTCTTTATGTAAGATTTAGGAGATTTTCCACTTTCAGAGTTGGCAAAACTCTCACATCCCTTACCTACTTGTCAGTAGAGATGAGTAAAAAATTGAGAATTTTAAATTTTAAAAAATGGAAGAGCTTACCAGAACTTGCCAGTTTTGGAGAAATGTAAAAACAAAATGCAGCACTTATTATCTCACTCTTAGAATAAATAATACAATTATGGTTCAAAAGTCCTTAAAGGCTCTCATTTGGCCCAGGCTAACCCTGCCTGCAGTGATCGATGTTTTTTCGGGGTTGTGGCCATCGTGGCGATGTATTGCATATCTGGTGGTCATGCCCGAGACTGTTTCATTTTTGGTCTTGTGTTTTTGGCCTCCTTTTCACCTTGTTCCATCTCTCCATATGGTGGGATGCTCGGTATGCCTTGCTTCATTGCCCCATACCGGGCCTCTTGGCTCACCAGCAGAAGTTGGCTTCCTATTTGTTTTTATCGGCCACTAGAACAATTGCTCAGGCTGGAAGAGTCCATTTGTCCCTCTTCAGGGGGAGCGGGATCGTTGGACCACTATGATGCTCAACGAACAGAAGACGAGTATCTGCAACGACTCCCAATGTACATTTTTGAAAATATGGGAGCCGTGCTTGCAATATGCCTTTCCCACGCTCCCCCCCGGCTAGTCTGGGGATGTAATGGCGTTCGGTATTGGCGCTCTTGGACCCCTGCTCTTTGTTTTTTTTTGTTTTTTTTTTCCTTTCTCTCTTTCTCTGTTTGTTTTTGGTGTGACAGTGGACAGCTGCCTTTAGCTGTTATAGACAGAGTTACATTAATGTTATTGTAACTTATGTGCCATTAATAGCCCCTGCGTGGGCATACCTTTTGCCTTGTTGGCGTTAGAGCACTGTTTTTTCTATTTTTGCTTTTTTTATCGGTGCAATTGATAGCCCCTGCGTGGGCTTGTTTTGTTGCCTCTGTTTTATACTGTTTAAAATTAATAAAAACCATTGAAATACAAAAGTCCTTAAAGGAAAAGTCCATATGATGTAACTGTGTTTTGCATAAAAAACATAACTGGGAAGAGGTGGTAAGTGGCCACAGAGAAGAAGAAAAAAGATCCTCCACCAACACCATTCACAGCCTCTTACCAGAGGATAAGACCACAGGTCATGTGGTCTCAAACAGCAAGTATGGAAGGTCAATGGAAATATGGGACCATGAATCTTCTCCTCCAAAAAAGGTACAAGTAGTGATGTTGCCTTTTTTTGGCGGAGAAGTGTTGCATTCTGTTTTTAGAATTATTCCATTTGTTGTCTGCATTTTTGTTAGCTGTTTTTTCCCTCACAGAGACATTTAGCACAGGTGTAAAGAACCATTCATTGAATTTTGGAGAAATAGTCATGAAGTCAATTGGAAGGCAAAATTATAGTGGTGTTAGGGGGTTTTTAAGGGTAAAATGGGAAGTCTGTGGGCTCATGAAGCTCCTTCCAACTATACTGACCTTTCCCCTTGCTACAAAATGCCCCCTCATTAGCCTCACTATCTTACAGTTTTCACAGAAGAAAAACAGACATTGAAAAAACAGTAAAAAACAAAACATGAAAAAAAACACAAATACATGTAAAAAAACATTAAATGAATGTCGTTATCAACAATTTCACCCAAAATGTGCCTAATATTTACTAAATTAGTGAAGATATACTCGATGAGAAATGACATTTGCTGACATTAAGCAGCATCTGCTCTTCAGCAGGATAAAATCTTTACTGTAATATTTACCCGTAAGAATGTTACCTTCCCTGCACATTCACCTGACATTCTCTCAAGCTATTTTTTTTTTTTTTTTTTTACTAAATTCACCTGATTTAAGCTTCTACTAAAACATTCATTAATTGTCTATAGGTAGTGCTGAACCTGTATTAAAACCACAGGTCAAAAAAAATATAATATAAAAAAAAAAGCGTGCCCCCCTTCCCCCAAGCTAACCAGTCATAGACACAAGGCAAGATGATATTCCCTTCTAGTTTTCATAACCAGCATTACATTTAGACTTTTACTTTACTTAAGGTTTTAACTTTCATTTAGTGTACTTCTTTCTATCCTCTTCAAAGATAAGTCCTCCACTTCTCTAAGGAAACTCTACCAAATTATTATCATTGTCTTGCCTCATTGTACTCTATAGATGAGTGGACTCCATTAGTAAAAACATAACAATCTTTTATCCACTGTGTTGAGCATCTATACAACTTTATATACACCATTCAGCCACAGAGCTGGCAGTACAAGTTCTGACTGGGCATTGGTCTTTAGAATTAAACACTACCAGGGGCGGACTGACCATATGGAAACGCGGGCACTGCCCAAGGGCCCGGGGTCAGTAGGGGGCCCCATGAGATGTCCCTGGTACCTTTTTCATAGGTTTTTTTGAGTTTGGGCAAGGACACAGGGGCCCCATGGTCCCCTATTGCCCGGGGGCCCCATGAGTTGTCAGTCCGCCCCCTGAACACTACCCTTGATCAAAAAGACTGCATCAGACAGATTTTAGCGAAAGTGTCGCTCGTGTGTACTGAATATTGTGCAGCGTATGCCAAGTTCATGTACCTGTTCAGAACTTGTATTTGAATTTGGCTTGTTCTGCACCACTTTTAGAATGCACATAAGATACTTTGGAAAAATTTGTCTCCGCCAGTTTATCTCTGTACGGCGAAAGATTAATTAGCGCCACTTTCACAAATACAAACTGTCAGTATTTTATTTTGAATTTGTCGCATTGAATGCGACAGTTGATTTTGGCACATTCATTGCAACAAAATGTAAAAGTGGCCATTTAGAAATTTTGTGTACGAGTCGCTGTCAGAACCAAAAGTGTTGTATATGCTTCATGAATATGGCTCAATACCTCAAAGGTTCTGCTCACAAGGGCACATCATTCATTCACAGACTTCCATGAATGAATGAACTGAAAGTCCCGGCAGCCTTAGCGGCTGTGGGCTTGTAGTTTTCAATGAATTACCACCATGCTGTGGAGTGCTATGGTAGTTCATTGAAGCTTCCTGTCAGAATATCTGCTTGAACGTACAACCCGTACAGCAAGCAGATATTCTGACAGATCTGCAGGAGAACTGCATGGCATCAGCGATCTATTAATTGCTAATGCAATGCTTTCCAGGCTACTGTAGACAAAAATAATAAATACACATTTTTTTTTACCTGCCAAAAAATGTGCATTTATTAATTTTGTCCAAAAGGTGAATTTATCCTTTAACGAGAAGGATTAATGCCAGAAAAGTGGTGCAGTAGCTTTATTGGTTCCTCCCTGTATCTCTTGATTGCATATCCTCCACGTAACCCTTTATGATTCAAACCTATTGGTGCCACTTGGTGGGTCTTAGAGTGGATCAAATATGTACACCATGATCAGTTTTTTTCCTTCGTTTGACTATTTTAAGAACACATTTAGGCTTCAGTAGGCTCTTTCATTAAGTTTTTCTATTTGCTATACAGTTATAATTTAGTTCTTATCCTGTCTAACCAATATACCCAAATGGGAATTAATTCATGAATAAGATGCTTACATTCTTCCATGCCAAGCTTCGATGTTATTTCAATATACCCTTTGATTCATCTCTCTCGGTTGCTGGCAGAAATCTGTTTCTGGATGAGGTTAGTTTAAATATGATGTGAGACATGGGTCTTTTAAATTCAACCCAGCAGCTCTTGTCTATCTATCTCCTTGCAGTCTATTATGTTTGAATCGTATTCAGGAATAGGGATGAGCCAAAATGCCCTGGGTTCAGTTTGAGTGAGGGGTGACTAACTTAAAAAGTGGATGCCGAATCCAAACCCCATTAAAATCAATGGAGCCAAATCTGTCAAATGAAGAATACCCTTTTTTTCTGGGCTGATAGCCATAGGGTTGTAAAAAGATAGCATGGAGGTGGCCACTGTCCTGGGAAACATTTATCAATGCAAACATTTTTTTTTAAATCCTATTCGGCCAGGGTAGGGATTTTTGAAAGCATTGACATTTACAAATGAAAAAAGTGTTTAAAAGTGTTTAAAATGGCTGGCGTATTACAATTCCTTGCTGGCTTAAAATTATAAAAGGCACACAGACCCCTCCAAAGTTCCCCAAAATACGTATGTC